CCCACAGGAAAAAGGTAACTTTATAAAAAGGACACCTGCACTCAAATGTTTATAGCAGCACAATTCACGATCGCAAAGACATGAAACAACCCAAGAGCCCACTAATAATGAATGAATTAATAAAAAATGGTATATACACACCATGGAATACTACTCAGCCATGAAAAATGCTGATCTAGTTTTTCTTTCTTTCTTTTTTTTTCTGGACAAGCTGGAGGAAAGTGGAAACCATTCTTCTAAATGAAACATCACAAGAATGGAGAAACAAACACCTATACTTGATAGCAAATTGGAACTAATCAATCAACCTTAAGTGCACTTAAGTGGAAGTAAATCCCAGTGAAAATTAAGCTACGGGGGGAGGAAATGGGTAAATTCACACCTGTTGGGTACAGTGCGCACTATCTGTGTGAAGGGCACACTTATGTGTATAACTTTGACTCAATCTGTTCAAAAACAAAGTATGTAAATAAAATGTGTAATCCCTAATATTCTGGAATAATAATAAAAAATCCTATGAATCTTTCAAGATTTAGCCAGTGCTATATTTCTTTTTGAAGCTCTCCTTGATTCCAATGTCCTAGAATCAGTCATAATTGATAATTTATTTTACTATGCCTCCACAGTGGCTTTGTCTTACAACCATTTGTATCTGATTGCCCAAAGAGATAATAAATATTTTTATATGGCCCAGAGGCTCACAGAATTGCTCTATATAAAGGAAAGCTATGTTCACAGGCATTGCTGAATGACTTAATATTTTAATTAACTGAATGAAAAGAGTTCTGGCCTTAGAAACTGGAAGAATAATGGCAAAATGTACAAAGTGGGAGAGTATCTCACAGGAAAAGACATTAGCATCACGTGTTTGGTTGACAGCTAGTTAGTCTAGGGTAGGACTTTGAGCAAAGGGGAGACGTCCTAAGGACAGAAATGTGAGTCTCAGTGAAGTGCCTGGAAAGATCAGACTCCACAAGCTGTATGAGGGAATGGCCTGCCAAGAGACAACAGATGACCCTCTCACATGAATGGCTTCATTCTGGCAAGGAGTTAGCTCCAAATTTGTATTGGGCATTTGATGAATGGAAGGAAAAGTTTAGGAAGATAGTTGGAGGAGCTAGCAGGGAAGGAGAAAAAGGATCTGGTGAATATAGGAGTGAAAAGAGAGGCAACTGAAGCAACAACAAAAATACATTACTGGGATGTGATCAGACTAAAAAACTTCAGCACAGCCAACAACATAGTAAGTAAAGCAAACAGACAGCCCTCAGAATGGGAGAGGATATTTGCAGGTTATGTTTCTGACAAAGGTTTGATAATCAGAATCCAAAGATAACTTAAATGTATTAGCAAGAAAAGAACAAGTGATCCCATTTCATTGTGGACGAGATACTTGAACAGAACCTTCTCTGAAGAAGACAGGCGCATGGCCTACAGACACATGAAAAAATGCTCATCATCCTTAATCATCAGAGAAATGCAAACCAAAACCACTTTGAGATATTATCTAACTCCAGTAAGATTAGCCCATATCACAAAATTCCAAAACTACGGATGTTGGCATGCATGTGGAAAAAGGGAACACTTCTGCACTGCTGGTGGAAAATCAAGCTAATATGTTCCTTTTGGAAAGAAGTTTGGGGAACACTCAGGGATTTAAAAGTAGACCTGTTGTTGGACCCTACAATTCCTCTACTAGGTGTATATACAAAAGACCAAAAATCACTTCACAATAAAGACATTTGCACTAGATTGTTCATTGCAGCTCAATTCATAATTGCCAAGTTGTGGAAGAAGCCCATGTGTCCTTCGACCCATAAATGGATTAACAAATTGTGGTATATGTATACCATGGAATATTATGCAGCCTTAAAAAGGGATGGAGACTTTACCTCTTTTATATTTACATGGATGGAATTGGAAAATATTCTTCTTAGTAAAGTATCTCAAGAATGGAAGATGTACTCAGTACTATTATGAAACAAATTTATAATCACCCACACTTTCATATGAAAGATAAATCACAACAATAGCCCAAGATGAAGGAGAGAAGAGGTAGGGGATGAGAGGGGAGGGGGAAGATTTGAAGGAAGGAGGGTAAATGGTGGGACCATTCCATTGGTTCATATTATAAGGGTACATGTCACTTCTATTAAGTATAGAGTATAAATGTCTTAATGTAATAATTAAGTAAATGAGGTGAAGACTAATTAACTAATTTCATATAGGCATTCCAAATTGTATTTAAAATCAGCATTTTGTACCCCATAAATGCATTAATGTATACATGATCTATATGTACATGACTCAAGTAAAAAAAAAATTAAGGCTCGGCGCCTATAGCTCAACCGGCTAAGGCGCCAGCCACATACACCTAAGGTGGCGGGTTCGAATCCTCAGCCTGGACCCGCCAAACAACAATGACGGCTGCAACCAAAAAATAGCCGGGCGTTGTGGCGGGCGCCTATAGTCCCAGCTACTTGGGAGGCGGAGGCAGGAGACTCGCTTGAGCCCAGGAGTTGGAGGTTGCTGTGAGCTGTAATGCCACGGCACTCTGCCCAGGGGGACAGCTTGAGGCTCTGTCTCAAAAAAAAAAAAAAAATTAAAGGGAACCAATGGTTGATGTTGAAATACTGAGATCAGCCAGGTAGGATAAAGACTAAAAAGTGGTCACGGGGTGATAGCTGCATAGTGGTAGACAGCAAGAGTGTGTCAAAAAGGATCATATATTTTATTCAAGAAAGACCTGGAACCCAACACAAGAAGGGGGTTTATGAACAAGGAATGAACAGAGGAGAAGAGCATAACTTGGAAGTGGGGTGGTATAAAAAGGGAGAGAGGTTGGATTGCAGCTCTGAAAGGCAGCCTGGAAAATCAAGACCACTTTGTGTTGTCACTCTTGGTCTATTTGTAAATTAAGAAAGACTTGGGTAGGAAGGGGAGAGAAACCAAAATAGAAGGGGCAATTTTAGCAGATAAGTACAAGAGGATAAATTTCATATGGCCTATAAAATTCACTGTTTCTCCTAAATTCTATATTCAGGTCTTTTATAATTGTAAAATGTTTTCATATATTGCATCATGAACAAAAGCACTAGAATTGTTCCTTACATACAGATAAATAAACTCTTGTACCAAGAGTTAGTGAAAAAAACAATAATGCATCAATCAGAATTACATTCATACCCAACATTCTACAGCTTTTTACACATTGTAATATTGTAATGCTAGAAAATAAAAATTAATTTTGATTGAACAGTCTTTGGTGGTAACTTAAATTACATAAAATATATTACATCAACATTATTTACCTAATAATTTAAGTCTGTAAGTGTTCTAAGACGTATTTGCATGTCCCTATGAAGGCCAGTCTTCTGTGATATCCCTAATAAACACGGAACAACTCTCCCCTTTAATTCTTCACATGAATAAAACATAATTACAAATAACAATATAAATGGAGTAATTTGGAAATTTTATGAAATGTTTAGCAGCTACATTAATTAACCTCCTTCTGTAACATAATAATGATGAGATATTTATAGATAATAAAAACAGAACTACTCTAAATGAGACAAATAAGATATAAATAATACGCCATAAGATTCACACTTGCCTTAACTTCCAACTATTCAAAAATATCTAAAGAGCTTAGTTTTCCAGTGATTGAATCAGATCTTAGAAAGCCTTCACCTCGGTTGTATAGAGAAAATGAAATCTAAGAAGCAGAATTCCACTTTTTTTCACATTCTATATTTATACAGCTTTGGAATCTCATATAAAATGAGATGCTTTTTTTTATAAAAATAGAAGTAAGTCAAAATTTGATACAAGAACCTAGCAGAGCTGCCTGGGGAGGTTTTGTCTCAGGCACTTTCCCCAAATGGTTCTCTCTGGAGAATCAGGAGGAGGAAGGGGTCTGGGCAGATCTTTTTAGACTCCAGGTACAAGAATACACTACGATTCCAGTCTCCATAAGAAAAGGACCACAGAGTAGAGAAAGCCAAATGCTTCTGGGTATTGCTTTGATATCCAGGGGAATGGAGTATTGTTCCTCAAGATTAGCAAAAGAAAACCTTCCTCTGGTGTCAGTTGACTCCTATCATGGTACTTTTCCCGAATCTGTTAGAGTTAGTGAGTCAGAATTCCAACCCCCAACCTATCTTCGTTGACACTTTTCAGGTCCCAAAAGATAAGCTATTCTTTTAATAAGAAATATAAATGAACCAATGAGGGTTTTTGCAGAAAAAACCACATATAATCCTTTTTAACTAACCAACCCATTAACCACTCATAGCAAACGCAGTCCAGCCTTTTGCTCCCTGGCTGGACACTGTGTATGTCATCTCATGGGACAGCCTGGTGTTTCTGTTAAATCTCAATTAATGCATTCAACGAATATTTATTCAACACCTAATGTGTGCCAGGGACAATTTCTACACATGATCTTAGCCAAAAGGCTGAGAAGCAATGCCAAGAACAATTTTTATTAACAAATTCTGGTTTTAAAAGGGATTGCCATTAATGACAGGAGTTAAGAGACATGCTCAATATCAAATGACAAGCTTATGGCAAGAGGCAAAGAGGACATTAATAAAATCAAGATGGTCTGACTCCCAGACATATCTTCCTCAATGTATTTGCTATCATGACAGTTACATACCCAATTCATGTAATTATCACAGCACAAAGAGGCCATGTTTATGAAAGTTAGGTCATTTGTAATGCAAAATAAATGGTCTCAGCATGTCCACTGTGACCAAATGCTGAAACATTCACTTAATGAATATTAATTATATAGCAAAACCTAGAATTAAATACATAAAAAAGAACAGTTGCTACCTAGACTCTGGAAAGATACCACTCAGATAGTTTGGCCATTTCATTTATTTTAAAGCATTACTCAATATCTATGCCACAGATATTTGGATCACTTTCCTTTGTTTTGGAGAAGGAAAGGAGGGGATTTTATGGTCCTCAAACGAGAACCAAACAATTACCTGTAGAATTGCAACCTCATTACGAAGCTGGCTCTCTTGTTTTGTTGGAAATCTTAATTTGTCAATGATTTTAATAGCTACATCTCTTCCGGTTTTTCGATGTTTTCCTTTAAAATAAAAAAGAGAAACATTAGTATAATGTTACTAAATATCACTTATATTAACACCTAAATTGGCGAGAACATTTATAGGAATGAATGTTCCACTGAATAAATTAACATTTCTATAAAGCATTGACTTATATCTATAAAGATTTCATTTTGTAGTTTTGTTATTCAAAATGAAATATGTACTTTAAAATTACCACAATTTAACACACAAAAGAACTGTGGTATTAAGAGCTATATGTATCAAGAGCCTGATATTTTCTTATAAAAATATAAGTTTTAGAGACAGAAGACTGAACTACTTGATATAGAACATATTCATGTCACCAGCAAAAATGCTCCCTTATGAAGGTATAATTTTAAAGTCCTGATAAATTAATATGTGATACAGAGGAAAGAATTAAAGTTTTGGCTCTGATACGTATTAGCTACGTGATTCTGAGCAAGTGACTTAATGTTTCTGATGAGTTAATGTCTTCAGGCTCCCCATCTTCAATGGCAAGGTTGGTGTAAAGGGGAAATAAAAGAAGACACGTGAAGTGGACCGAGTGCCCAGGTAACCGTGCACACTCAAAAAGTGTCAGTTATCATCACCATCATCACGTAATCGTCTCTTTACGTACATTACACTCCATTTAATTCTGACACGTTCAATTCTTAAACCTCTTAGGGCTTCTATGGGACACCCCACAAACTCTTAACTTCTACACTATTGCAGGAGGTACAGCATATAGCAGTGTTGACTGACTCTGAAAACGTAAAATGAAAATAAATGTGAAAATGAAAAAACAAACAGAAAATGCACCTGATAACTCAAATTTTTTTGATCACATACAAACTAACTTAAAATTTCATTTTTCTAACACTCATTAATAGGAAAATTAGTGTTCATTCATCCTCCGTCCCACGCTTGTCATGCCTTCTGATGCCAGCCGCGTGGCTTCTCTTCACTACCAAATGGCCTGTCCTCACCGTCTCTGCTTCCTTACTGTTGCCCCTTCCTCTTAAGACTCACGCAATCTCTCCTTTGACTCAGCCATGTTCCTGCAAGAACCCTCTACAAGCCCACAGCTTCCGGTGTCTCTACGCCTCTGTCACTACAGCACCTGACCTCTCTTCTGAGACTCTGTTCTCATCTACTTCTGTGTAGTATGTATGTCTAGTCTTACACTTCAGTTTTCCTTTTGGAGGCCTCTTCCTACGCCTGTTCCTTCAACATTGAATGTTCGGAATTATCTGGCACCTGCTGGTCTCTGCTCTCCTTTGTCACCCTTGATTCACCCCCACACTATGTGCAGTTAGGTATATTTACCATGCTCTATCTGCCATGATGTTTTGCATGCAATTATCATACCATATAGCAAAGCAATAGTCTGTCCGACATTTCATTTCCCCTATTATACTGTCATGCACTAAGGAATAGCACAATGGTTGCTAGCTCCCTGGTACGTTTTTCATCAAGAAAACCACTGGATCATCTTGTAAGAATCAAAATTACTTTATAAAATAGAGTAGAACTTCACTAGTTGTTAAAGCAGATAGTATAATGTATGATCGCAGATAAAACTAAGACACTGTGATGATTTCAGAGCACCCGAACTCACAAAGTTATTATAATTGGTTACTGATCATATGAAGGAACTGAAACTTATGATGTCATTTCATAGGGCAGTTAAAACATTAATCCCGAATGTTTCTCAAAGACTTGAAAAATAAATCCAGTATGCCACTTCAAAAATTGAAAAAAAATTCAAACCCTAATGAAACCAATACACTGTTAAAGGTAT